GCTCCAGCCCATCAAAGTAATACTAGTTTTAAATTCATAGTTCAAAAGGCTGAATTGAGTGGAAGTTTCTTTGCGCAAAGGACAAGAATCTCTTCTTGAATGTGTCACCAAGCATTCTAAGAGAAACAGGTGCAGGGAACTTAGTCAAAATCTAGTATGCCCGGGTTGAAAAGCGCACCTTTAAAGAGTGACTTGGGAGAGATCAGCGAGCTGCAGAGATGCCCCTAGGCCCTGTGCCGGGCTGAGTCTCATATCCCGGCACCCTGGGGGAGGAGGGGGCGCGAGTCCCTCTACCCGCCCTAGTACAGCCCCGGCAGTCGGAAGCCTCCAGAACCCAGTCGCTGCCACAGTGAGATGCAGCCATGAGAAAGCTCCTTAACCAGCTATGACCCACAAATAAATCCCGAGAGAGGTCAGTGAGCTGCAGAGATGCTTCCGGACCCCAAAGTCACCATCCAGTTAAAAGTTGAACCCCAGCTGTCTCACCCCGTCAACAGTTTAGAGTTCCTGGAGCGCCATCACACTCGGCAGCACCGATACACCAGGAGAAGCACCCCAGGCCGGACGGGATGGAAAGGAAAAGGCAACCAATCTCGATTAAGGAAATATTAGCTCGCAAGGCTCAGCCTGTAACATGTCAGTGATCTCCTACCCAAGGGCTCCGTGGCTCCAGGGTGAAACACACAATCTTCACACACTTTCCTCTAAGGAAATCCTTGTTGATCATTTTTGGCAAATCATTCATAACAAGCAAATACAAAATAATCATTTCAGGCCTGCTATCGGGGCAGGCTTGGGTGGTGGTTGGGAAAATAGGAAATAATGGTGGTGGAATTGTGTTGGAATCAAAACCAAATCAAATCACAAATCATCCTGTTATTCGTCAATTGCCTCGAGCAGGCCCCAGTAACGTCTCCTTCATCCTAGCCCTGAGATTATATTCAAGGCTCTTTAGGAGAATGAGACCCATCATTGTTACTGGTATTTGGCAAATTGGGTACGCCACGGGGAGTTTGCCAGACTCTGCCGTGTGGGCAGGCTACATTCGGTAGCCTGCCAGTTTGTCCAAAGTAGGAATGAGATAATAAGATGTCATAATAAGATGTCGCACGGCCGCATTTGCGGCTGCGCGGTTCCGAGATCTGGCTTTTATAGTCTCTGAGTCTTGGCTGCTGATGGGATTACACGGCGCCAGGGGGCCAGGTGGTGGGTGTGACCCCCGCCTACTGGAATTTGGAGGATCTGGGTGGAGGATGCTCGGCCCAAATCCAAGTAGGCTTGGAGATCTCGGCCCCGGAACCCGCATGACTTTGTCCCTCTGCCAGTACCTTCATGTGTGCGGAGAGTGGTCTCAGCATGGTGGTGGCTGGTCCTGGAGGTCTTCGGCTGCCGGAGCCCTGGTTGGGGCGGGGAGGAAAGCTCAACCCGCTCCCCTCCAAGGGGTCCCTGCGAGCGAGGACAGTCAGGCGCGGGGGCAGAAGACTGCACTCTTCTCTTCCGGGATCTGGCTTTTATAGTCAGCTTTTATAGTTTTTTTATAGTGTTGGAATATTGAATGTATTAAATCACTGTGGACAATTTTATAAATAGCACAGCGGGTAGGGCGTTCGCCTTACAAGCGGCCAACATGGCCGACCCGAGTTCGATTCCTCCGCCCCTCTCGGAGAGCCTGGCAAGCTACCGAGAGTCTCTCGCCCGCATGGCAAAGCCTGGCAAGCTCCCCATGACGTATTCGATATGCCAGACACAGTAACAACAAAGTCTCCAATGGAGACGTTACTGGGCCCGCTCGAGCAAAAAATACATTATTTTAAAATTTTATTTATTTATGTATTTTTGCATTTTTGGGTCACACCTGGCAATGCTCAGTGGTTACTCAGGAATTACTCCTGGCGGTGCTTGGGGGACTATATGGGATGCTGGGAATCGAACCCGGGTCAGCCACGTGCAAGGCAAATGCTCTACCCGCTGTGCTATCTCCCCAGCCCCATATTTATTTTTAAAGTGACTTTGCAGGTCCCTGTAGCTAAGGGCCACAGCGGCTGAGGGTACGGCTGGAGGCTGACCTGGGCTCACTGCCAGCCCTCACAGGGTCCCCAGAGCCTGCCAGCATCCCCCAAAACAAGTGAATTTACAAATCCTGCCTTTGACAAGGATTTCGACCCACAATAAAGAGAATATGCACACAGTGTCAGAGAAATAACGCAGTTGATAAGAGTCCCAGACTCTTGGAAAACATTTCTCCAAACAAGACACACTAATGGCCGGTAAGCCGTGAGTGTGACCCACCTTCACTGCCACCGTGAGGCCCGTGTCGCCCTCAGTGGCCAGGCTGGGAGAGCCCGGTCCCAGCGTAGTAAGGACGGGACCCAGGTGTTCTCTGGCCGCAGGGCAATGGCACGTGCTGTCCCCTTGGCCTATTCCCTTCTGCTTTGACACAAGCCCAGTGAGTGCCCAGCCAAGCCTCGTTCACCCCGAGGTGGACGAGCCCGTGTCCAGGACATGAGGACAGCAGGCCCGTCACCCTGCGAGAGGGAGAAGCTCAGGGTGGCCCCAACCACGTGGGAACCGGACAGCTGCCCTGGAGGAAGATCCGGGCCCCACCCATGCCGCCGGTCCTGGGGTGAGGCCCAGGGTGGGTGGAGGCCGGGTGTGCTTGCTGTGTTGGCTGAGGGGAGGGACAGGCGTGTTAAATGCACCCCGCGGACATGGACACGCTAAGAGCACCTGCCCAGACACGGCAGGTGGAGGACACGGCTTGGGTCCGAAGACAGTGGTGACGGATGACGGGCAGTGAGACACCTGTGTCTGGCTGCGGCCAGGCAGGGCCTGAACCTGGGTCCCCACCTGTGTCCCTGCCGGGCACCTGACACTCTGTCGCCCACCCGCTGTGCCGGCTGCAACTTCTACCCTTCGCCACAAGCGTCTGTGCATCTGAGTTCTGCCCTCAGGAGCCCGAGCCCTGTCCCGGCCCTGCCCCAGCCCCTGCCTGGCCCATGGGGCCCCCAAGCCAACCAGGACTGATCCCCGAGTGCCGCAGATGGAAAGGAGACATTCAAGTGCTCCTTTTGCGAATCACCGCTGGGTTTCCTGCTGCTGAGAATCCGTGTGGGACTCACCCGGGTCACGCCACGCAGCGCCGAGCCCCCCCCCCCCCCCCCCCCCCCCGAGAGCTGCCACTGAGCCGGTGGCCGCTGCTTGCCTGGTGGGTTTGATGTCACCCGAGGTGGCCGTGCGCGCGGCTGTGGGCACAGCTGTGTCAGCTGCAGCTGGACGAGTGGCGGGCGTCCATCTGCCTCTGCCTGCCTGGGCCCACACGGTCGGTTAGGCAGGGGCCCTCCGGGGGCCGCCGTGAACTCGGAACCTTCTGGGCAGCGCCGCGTCCATCTGGCCAGCCCGGGGCACGTCCTGCCAGCACAGACCGCCGTGTGCCACCGTCTGGCTCCGGAGCAGGATGAAGCCCGAGAGGCAGGGCCTGCAGATGGGCAGTGGGGGCCAGCGTCCCTCCAGCCCGCCCAGGGAGCTCGAGTCTCTGAGTCCCTGTGTGGTCATGGCAGCTCCTCCCGCAGCCCCCAACGCCCCCTGCCCGGACACGGCCCAGCTGTGCAGTCCAGCCCTAACCATCCCTGCTTGGCACTGCCTGAGGACCATGCAGTATGGCCCCCTTTGGGTGGGTCTGGGCCTCCCTGGTCACAGTCTCAGGCCGCAGGACACCTGGGCAGCCCCAGAGGCAGGTCCTGCCGTCCCGGCCCCCAGGAGCTCAGGGTAGAGCCCGGCCCCTCCCCCACTCAGGTGGGCATCCGTGCCCCACCCCCAGCTGCCTCCCTGCCTGCCCAGGGGCCGTCCCTGCCCCTCCCTGCCCACTCAGGCCCCGTCAGGCGCTTTGCGTGGTCAGTGGGGCAGTTCGTGTGTCCCTGGGGCCGGCCTGGGAACCAGGCTCCGCGTGCACCCGCACTATTCACTTTCCCCGCGGAAGGAGGAGAGGCTCGGGGACTGTCCTCATTGGACACCCCCATGCAGAGGCCTGGCCGGCTCTCCTCTGCCCGGGTCACGCACGCGGACCGTCCTGGCTCCCCCGTGGCCCTGCCCGGACACGGCACGAAGCTGAGCAGCATCCCAAAGACAGGGAGGAAGAGGTGGCCGTCGCCATGACGACCAGGCTCCTGGGGCGGGAGCAGAGCAGGAGTGTGGCCACGGGGTCGCTGGGAATTGGCAGCCCCCGGCCTGGCTCAGGGCAGAAGTGCTGGGCAGCTGGGGACCGTGGGGGACTCAGGCCCTGGGGCGGGTGTGTCCTGACCCCGAGTCCTCGCGCGTCTGCCCAGCGTCAGTGGGACCCACAGAGCTTGGTCCCTCCCCCCCACGCGCTCCCAGGCAGGCGGCTGTGGGCCGGGCACTCGCCTCCTGGCCGGGCTGGCGTCGGCACTGTGGTGAGATGCTCCTGGATTCTCCCGACTCTGACGCTTTCAGACTTGGAGAAGACGCAGTTTCCTGTGATGAGCCGCCTCCTTGGGCAGGATGAGAGAGGCCCTCACCAGGGGCAGGCCCGCCCTGGCGTCCCTGACACAGCTGAGAACATTCCGGAAGCTTAGCTGTTTCCATTTGATGAGGACAGGCAGGTGGTCGGGGCCTCCCTCCGGGGAACCAGCAAGGGAGCAGGGCCTGCCTGTGGGGGAGGGCTGTGCTTTCTGGAAGGTTCCGTGTGCTCGTAGCCCCTCCTCCACTCCCCACGGCTGGGGGATTCGGAGCCTGGAGGCAGTGTGAGGGCCCCATGTGGTCAGCTGACTCACTGCCCGGCACAGAATTGAGTCCCCGCCTGAAGGTTGCCCTTGCCTGCTCCAAAGCGGGTGGTCCCTGCCGGTGGCCGGGGGAGCGGCTGGCGCGCGCGTGGGGGCCTCCCTGGGGACCCACAGGAGAGCCAGCGGCACTGCTCACGGGGTTCCACGGGGACCTTGGGGCCAGTCAGGACACGACTCACGGCACCACCCCCAGGTCTCGGGTCTCGGGCCTGTGCTGAAAAGTCCCACGTGGGAGCAGGGGGCCACGGCTACGCACGCCCCCGTGGGCCCCGGCCTCAGGAAAGCACCATCCCGGCCTCTGCGTGTCTGCGCGTGCATTAGAAACCCACGTGTGCTTGTGTTCATGTGTATTGTATGTCTCTGTGTCACATGTGTGTATGTCTGCACATCTCTTGTGAGTGGATGTGCATGTCTGTCTATGCACACGGATGTTTCTGTACACGTGTGTATGCCTCTGCAGTGCATGTATGTGTGTGTCTCCCTGTGTGTATCTCTGTGTGCATGTATGTATACATGTGTGTGCGTGTGTACTTGTGCAAGCACATATGTGTGCGTGTGTTTGCATGTGCATGTGTGTGCAAGCCGTGTGTGTGCGTGTGCAAGTGTGTGCACATGTGCATGTGTGCACGTGTGTCTGCGTGTGCGTGCGTGTGTCTGTGCACGTGTGTACACATGTGTGTGCGTGCACGTGTGTGCATGTATGTGTGTGCTTGTGTGTGTGTGTGTGTGTGTGTGTGTGCGCGCTGGCCTTTGTCTGGGCCCACAGCTCCACTGTCTAGAGGCAGAAGCTTGTGAGCATATTTTAAGCTCTTTGAGGCGACTTGCCAAATTCCCCTCATGGATTTTTTTTCTTTTCACAATTTACAGTCCCACCCGCAGAAGCTGAGAGCCTGCGACACACACCCCGAGTGAAGCCAGGCTCTCCCGGCCTGCGGCCTGCGGCAGCGGTGGTGTGGAGTCTCTCCTGCCATAGCCCGAAGATCACGCCGCTCCCTGGAGCGTTCTCTGGGCAAAGCCGGTCAGTGTCATGTCAAGGGCAGCTCCCCCCTCGCTGACCGAGGGCCACAGGATCGGCCACTCCAGGTGCCCAAGCCGCTGCCCGGTCCAGGCCTCCGGAGGGAAAAAGGCACCACAGCACCTCCACGCGGCCGCGAGCTGGACGGACACGAGGGACACGGTCGGGGCCCAGGGGAGGCAGAGGCCACTCTGGGGCCCCGGGGCCCCGCTGGCTCTGATGCTGGGGCAGCACCAGGGGTGAAGTGGGGCACGTGGGAAGATCGCCCTGAGTCCCGTGGTGCGTGGTGCAGATCACTCCCGTGGTCTCTACTCACGGCCACTCGCCCTGGCAGCATCCGAAGACGGACATTTTCCATTTTCTTTCTTTTTAATTAAAATTATCCACAGCTGCTCAGCGCGTTCGGGGGTTCGGGTCAGATCACAGCTTGACGTCTGTGTTGTGCCTCGGGGTGTCTGGAGGCAAGGTGCCCGTCACTGCTGTGCCGCCTCCCTTCTGCGTAGGTGGGGCTGGCTCATCCACTGAGGCGCCTCCCGTGTGGCCTCAAGATCGGCAACCCCCCTCCCACCGACACGTGGACTCTGTCCATGCCCACTGCCCCGGGGCCGCCCAGGGCCGCCTGGGTGCCAGGGCCAGGCCCTCCTCTCCCCAAGCCACTCCGCTCTATGAGTCGGGTTCCGTGGGTCCCAGAGGCGCGGTGACAGCCTGTGTCACTGCTGTGCCTCTTCTGCTCTCCGTTTGCACAGAGAACGCTGACGAGCTCGTGCGTGCCGGGTCTGCTCCGTCCTCCCCGAGGCATCTGCAGTCAGATGTGGGCACCGTGGCCTGGGGTTGAGCCTGGGCGGCTGAGCCCCTTCTCCCTGCCGGTGCTGATCCTCGGGGCTGGGCCCGCCTTGCTCACCCGAGCGTGCCCGGGGCACTCGTGCGCAGGGGGACCTGCCGGCTGCCCAGGCCCGGTGGACAGACGCGCTGAGCGGCTGTCACGGCGGCTGGCGGGAGCTGCCTACGGGGCAATTTGCTCATCACGGGCCGAGCACGTCAGCAGCTGCTTATTACCCTGAGTGACACCCAAGTCCGCGTGATGGCCACACGCCTGCTCCAGGCCGGGCCACAGCTGGTACCCGTGACTCCCAGCCCCCAGTCCGCGTCCCACCGTCTCCCTCTCCGGGTGCCCACCTGTTGGGAACGTCTGGCAGAACTGTCCCATCTGCATGCTGAGGTGGTAGCAGGCACGTGAGGAGGGGGGCAGACCCCGTCCCTCACCCCTCACCGGATGGCACAGAGTCGGGAGGGACACTGGTGCCCCGGACGGCAGAGCACGGCCCTCGGGCTGTGGCCACAGGGGCGTCTCACGTCATGGGGCTGTGGCCGCCCGCGGGGCCCATGAATGCGGCAGGTCTCAGGCCATGGGGCGGCCGAGCCTGCACTGGGCTCTGCCCCGCTCCACCCCGGGGCAACCTGGAGCGTCCAGCGGCTGAGCCACGAGCGGGAGAAGCTCTCAGGCCCACAGATCTTTGCTCCCTACACCCCAGGGCTGCCCACACGTGGCCACGGGGAGGCCCCTCACTGTCCTGGGGAGATGGACCGAGGCCCCGCTCAGACTGCCCGAGGGAACCTCAAGGTCACCCCCCACACGTGGTTGGGCAACACTGGGATCAGCTCTGAGCACAGAGCCGGGAGTAGCCCCTGAGCACTGTCAGGCGAGCCCCCCAAATGAAACAAACAGAAGTAGCGCCAGATCAAGCCTCGCTCAGGCTGACTGACGTCCCAGACGCTCCGGAGAGGTTGACCCAGCGCCCCGCCTGCTGACGGGGGCACGAGCTTCCGCGCTGACTGTGGTGCTAACGGCAGTTTTAATTTCTCGACAAGCTGGTGATAAAGTAAAACCCACAAACGGGCCTCACGCCCTCCACGAGGCACCGTCTTGCATGTGGATGAATTTAATGTCATGGCTCTTTCAGGCCCCGGGAGGGTTTATAACTAGGATAAAATTTCGACATGAAATAAATTTGATCCAGGTTGGATTTTATTTGGAGGCTGTAACTGGGAGGGGGTGCCTCCGAGTGCCTGGACCATGTCGCAGTCAATTCTGGGGCTCCGGGCAGCCCCCACAGACAGAGGGAGACCCCTCCCCACCAGGAATGGCGCCCACAGGCTATGCTCAGCTCAGGGGGTCACAGCCCTGCCTAGGCACCAACTAGCATCCTGGGGCCGGCGGCCCTAGATTCCCACGCAGACAGCGCCTTCTTGAAAGCAGCTGTCTGGGTATCCCTGTGCCTGGCCCAGAGGCCGACAGGCCATGGGGAAGTGGCTCTGGTGGCCACCCCCAGGGGCTGCTGGACCATCCCCTGAAGGGTCACTGGGGAGTGAGTCTCGGCTTGTAAAGGACACGACACCAGTCTGACCCCCAACCCCCAGAGCTCCTGGTGGACACCCAGCGCCCCTCGGAAGATCCCAGGGCTCCTGTCCACAGCGCGGGGCCTCGAACCAGCCATGCCCAACGTCCACACAGACCCCCAGGGTCCCGGTATGCTCGCCTGCCCACCAGGGGCTGCTGTCAGGACCACGGCTGTGGCTCCACAGCTGCCGACCCGTGAGGCCGGCCCAGCCCTCGGGCGCCAGACAGTGCCCGAACCCACAGAGCACGCCTGCACTCGCTGTCCTGCCGCAGGACATCCTGGACATCTGCCCAGGCCCTCGCCGTCCTGACGAAAGCCCAGGCCACTCCCAGTCAGTGGTCTGTGGGGTCTGGAGCTGGGATGAGGCAAGAGGTGGGTCCTGGGTCTGGCCAGGAGGCGGCCAGGGAGTGTCCAAGGAGGGGGAGGGGACGCCGTGGCCTGTCCTGCTCGGCCCCATGGTCCTGGTGCCAGCGACGGGCGTTTCTTCAGGCCAGTCCTGCCGAGGGGCAGCTGTACCGGGGGTCCATCTGCGGGACCAGTGACAGCTGAGGTGAGGGGACACGAGCTAGATCAGAGGGACCCACCTGGGCCCTCACCGGCCCCGCCCCGCACCAGGGCTGAGATTGGCCGTGCGTCTCCTGGGCCCAGGCAGGCAAGCAGGCGAGGGACCACCACCCCACCTCCCCCAGGCAGCCGAGTCTGCACCTGCCACTGGGAAGTGGTCACTGTGAGGTCACGCCCGAGGCCCGAGGGGCTTGGCGGGGGCCAGTGGCCAGGTCCTCACTGCCCTGTGAGCTGGGGACGGGCAGCCCAGACGGGGTCACCAGGCCTGTCCCCAGGGCTGCCCTGATCCCTCTGGCTCTCCGGGTCAGGCTAGAGCTTGGGACGACGCGACTCGCCCCCTGGGGCCGCTCGGCTGCGTGGGTGCGAGAAGGGGCCCAGGGGTCCGGGCAGTCGGGCAAGCGGTCAGCAGCCTAGGAGCCCACAGGCCCGAGTGACCCGGTCACTGGGATGCTGGCCCCTGCCGGAGCAAGGCAGCAGCGAATGGGGTGGCCCTCAGCCCTCCCGAGCCCCTGGGGGTCCCCGGCCACGTGCTCCGCCCCCCCGCAGCCCCAGCTCCTTCTGACCACGTGTGTGTGGCTGCTCAGAGCGGCCCCTGAGAGCCCCTTCTGCTCAGCCGAGGTCTCGTTTGGACAGGTGCTGGGGTCCAGATGCCAACCTGTGTCCACTGGGAAGCCCAAGGGGTGCTGATGCTCTCGTGCTCTCTGGGCCAGATGACCGGCAGAGCCAGCGGCCATGGACAGAGCTCACACCGATCACACACGAGCCCCCACGCCTTCCTGCCGAGGAAGGTTCCAGAAGGTTCTAGGCTGGGGGCACAGCCTGTAGGTCCTCCTGCTTGCGGGAGCAACCCGCAGCTGTGCCCAAAGCTCCTTCTCCTGAGGGCGAAACCAGCCTCGGCCCCACGGGCTCGGACCCAGGAAGGCAGGGCCAGGAGCAGAGTGAGACCCCGAGAAGGTCTGGGAGCCCTGGACACGGGGAGCGGGGCAGGCCTGGGCGCGGGGAGTGCGGCCCAGCCTGTCTCTGTGCTCTGAGGCCGCCACCCACCCTCGAGGGTCTCAGAGCCAGACTCAGCAGCAGCGTAGGGGGTGGGGGTGGGGGGCAACCTGCCTTCCAATTAAGCGGCTAATTGAGCCTCCCAGCTAGCTGCGCCCCCAGGGTTACCCAGCAACGTGCCCGGTTGCTCTGCAGGTGCCCAGACATTGTCATTTCCCGAAGGGACGGCAGGGACCGGGAAGG